TATTTTTGAAAATGCAGCGTGACGATAAATATTCATTCGCCATTAACAAACGCATCTATGTATATATATATATTGTCACATTAATAACAATTATATAAATCATAATTATATTTAATGACATAACCTTCATGTACAAATATTTTTTTTTTTTTATTAATAATATAGGGCAGGCGGACAAGCATACACAGCTTTGTTATTAGATATCTCGCATCGCTACGTCACCGCATGACGTGCAGCGGCCGCCCGAGCGAGCGACCGCCGCGCGTTGCAGAGTACCGCCGAGACGTTGCTATCGAGTACACTAACTACGCTTACCTGCAAAAAACCGTTGAATGTTTAAATTTTTGTAAAGCTTCTGTTTAACCGCTATAGACGTTATTTCAACTGCTTAACTTCCCTTTTCTGTTTCCAAACTTTCTGTGGCAATATTTAACTTCTCCTTCTTTCTTGTATATCCTATTTATAACGTATATATAAAGCAGTACATTTATTTGTCGTCGTTTCATTTATCTCTACACACGACACATACGAAGAACAGTACGACCACATATACAGCGTGTCGTTACCATCGCGACAATAAATGAACACGTCTAACGCTACTTGCCAATAATCATAAAAAAATATTAACGTTAAACAAAATCCATAATTAAAAAAATATATTTTTCAAACAAAGTAATTAAGTAAAAAAGAAACAAAATTTGTAACATCCTATACAACTCGCGCCACAACGTCGCATTACAAGCCTCTCCTTCTAACAGTATGTGACAGTGGCAGTTTGTGACCTTTACAAATGAACTTTACGTTACAGTTTTACACGTAAGGATGTTCTAAAATTCTTTGATTTGGAAAATTTAATAACTCGGTATGATATTGATGTTTAAAAAATTTAAATGTTTTATACAACTTTAAAAAGTTTTCCCCTATATGTGTGTTCATTTATTGTCGCGATGGTAACGACACGCTGTATATATATATATATATATACAGCGTGTCGTTACCATCGCGACAATTATATATATATATATATATATGCAACTTATTTTAATAGTAGCTTTTGAAGAAATAAACTCCGATGATGGAGCAATAATGGTAAATCCCATCGTTTAATTCTTTGCACGTATTTATTTCCCTCCAATGTTGTTTCCGTGTAAGTCGCAGATAAGTGAAGTACATAGTACGATCATTTCTATCAACAACGGTAATAAACAATAACTATCCTAGAGGGCTGTTTTCAAAAATTGAGCTAATGTATAACACTTAATTGCGAAAGTAGTAGAAAAATGCATTTCAAGTTATTACAAGCTAGTTAAAGATAGCTCATGTTACTTAAAACGAACGCAAATTTGATTTCTACTTTATCTTATGTTTTTGTTCACGCAGAGCTTCGGCGCGAAATTACCGAGACTATCTGAACCGCACATCTCGTCCATCTGAGGCCTTAATTTCATTTTCCCTCCATTTTATCGTTCACTCCAAAGTAAGTGGGCTATTATGGCAAGGTTTTTCCGAACTCAACAAAGTTGCGTGGTACGCAGTGCATGAATAGAATAGTATTCGTGTACATATAATATATCCGTTGGTTGATACAAAAAAATACTAATATCACAGTCAAAAATTATATGTGAGAAGGTAGCAAGCGAGCTATTCGTTCACCCGATGTTTAGTGATAGCCGGCACCCATTGATGTTTGCATCGCCTGCACCCGTAGAGTTGCAGATAAGTTGCCACCTTTTAATAAAATGGGCCCTGGATACGTCACTCACCAGATGAAGCGCAGAAGTATAACACTTCCTCTTCACGTCGGTCTTCCGTGAGGTCGTGATACTAACCCGGACGGACCTGCCCATTCTTGCAACAGAGAAGACTGATGCGTGGCACTAACCCATTTAATTGCCACGGTCATGATCACAGAGACATGTTATGATTATTATTACTTTCTTTAATGATATTGATCGCTGGTGATAGCGGGAACATTAGGCTTAATCTATAATAGTCTTGGGATCGGGACCGAGAGTCATATTAATATACGAGACGTATTCGTAATTTAGGAGTCCCAAAATAAGTGTTTCCATATTCTTACAACAACATTACTCCCAATTTAAGCCAGCCCGTGTATACTAAAAACAAATTGATTACATTAGTTATATTAACCGTATCGGATGGCAAGACTTTCCATCCATAACTGTAAGTACCTGGAGGTACCTACATTGCTCGGTTTGCTTTTTTTTTGGTAAATCGTGTATTTTGGAAATTACATTTGGATACAAATTACTGAGTAATGAAATATGCATAATATTTTTCAATCTTACCGACGTAATAATAAGAAAATATGAACTGGTGTTTTTCACAAAAGAAAGAACTTTAAAAAAAGGGAAAAAAGAAAAAAATCATCTAGATGGACAAAAATAAAAAATAAAGAAAGCTATGATCTGGAATCGAAAAAAAAAGTAAAAAAAAAAGAGTGTGTAATTGATCGTGACACGAACCACGGCCGTCTGTTTTGGTGCCGCCCGATTACCGACCGAGCTATTATGACATTTTCTTTTGCAGCGAAATTTACCGTCATATTCGAATGATATTTTTCATTCCCTGAAAACAGGGACAAAAGGACATTTTCTAAAAATAAAACCTAGCTAGATCGATTTTTCGCCCCCGAATCTACGCACATACTAAATTTCATGAAAATCGCTGGAGCCGTTTCCGAGATTCCGATTATATATGTTATAGAAGATTATTAGTATGGGAGTTTTAGGTTTAACAGTATATGAGTATAGACGATCAATAGTATGGTAGGAGTATAGACAATTAATAGTATGGGAGTTAAATTATTGAAGTTGCCTATAAAAACTCGTGCGGAGCTACGCTCTGGGGAACCGGTGATCGGTCGTCAAAGCGTAAACGTGATTTATTATTATTTTGTGCAGAGATTATGTTCCTTTTGTTTTATAAATGTTCTTTTTAAAAAATAAATTCCTTACGAATATTCTAGATCAGAAGTTGGATTCGAAAACTCGTGTGTCTTAGTCCGTACATTCTGATTTGAAGCGTTTTTGAATACTCAGAGAATCGGCGACGTATTTTTACTTTGGGTGCCTACCCTCGTAAAAAAAATTATATTGGTTCGTAAGTTAATTGTGGTAAAATCTTTTGGTTAAGTGTAAACGACAGGTTTGGTGAGTACGTTCCAGTTTTTTTTATTAAAAAGTGAATCGAAGCTTTATTTGCGAACACATTTTGTAACATCTTTATATCTAAAAGAGTTACGGTTCCATTTTGTTATTTTGTCGTGACTTCGCAATTATTTTGCGTAATTAATATTTTGATTCGAAATGCACCTAATTTGAGAATATCTGTTGAAAATATGCCTCGTAAAAAGCGAAAAAGTAAATTTTGCTCGAGAAATCGTAGTACAAACTCTAGACATCATAATTCGCGTCACACTCGACGCAGCCATACTAGCAATGTTTTAACCGAAACAATGCAACAAATTTACATCTCTGCAGTAACGACATTATCCGGCTTCTTCACAACGAAGGCAGCCGAGCATCTGTGCTGCCGCTGTTGCAGTCTGCGGTGCCTGTGGCAGCCGTCGTCGTTGCCAAGCTCGCGACAGTTGCCGAGTCGGCGGCTCCTCTCTGTGGCAGTCTGTGGTGCCTGTGGCGCATCGCTGTGGCAATCTGCGGAGCCCACGACGGTAGCAAAGTCGACGACGTCGACGCCGCCGCCATCAAGCGCGCTTCAAAGGCGAGCATGGCGGGCTGGCTTCAGTGGCCCCGTCTTCAACGGAGCGTTCCGTGAGTGCCGCGGTGGGCCACTTCAGTGCGGCCGATCGCATTATCGATGCAATAATATTTGCCGGTGAGGTCTAACCAAACTCATTACATTTCGAATTTAAACTAAATGCTAATGACATGTATGGTCTGTCTTGTATTGTTAATTGTTTACAAGTAGATCCAAAAACGTAAGTTAATGAATGGTTAACGAACGACTGCAGTTAGAATTACTTTAAAAAGTAGCTCGTGTCCCAGAAAACCAGACATAGCGAATATTTTATACGCAGTTATGTGTTCCAATCTAGATAAGTTCCTTACATACCCAGACTATACCCGTCGGTTTTTAAGGTTATGAAACGTTAGAGAGTTAAGTGATGGGCTGATATCGGAATAGTAAAACTGGGCATTACTGACCCACAGATTCACGCGTCGCGGTATTTTTTGACGTTCAATAAGAGCTTAAAATAAGCTTTTTTGAATGAAGAAATTTTGACTTTGAAAATGCAAAATGAGTTCGTAGTTTCCTTTCTGTTTATGTTAAATGTCATGGTCGTATTAGGAAGATTCCTGAGCGCCAGGTAGTTAATACGTTCTCTATTCGTTTGGTCAGTGACTGTATCAGAATACCGTAACCGTAGCTTAGTACAGATCAACGTCTGCTCTTTGAGTAATCTGTACGTAGCGTAGTATGAGGCGGTACAATTTGATAGTACATTCGGATCTTGCCTTGTAGTAAGATCATAGGAGTTGAGGGTGAACTTTGGCTTCCCATGGGCTAGAGCTTAGAAAATTTGTGTGCTGGAGCTACGCGAATGTGTAACTTGGAGCTTGCTAAAGTTATAATTTTTATTGGTTTCGGAATGATGTTTGTTCTTTTTAAACGACTATACTCAGTGGTACATGGACTCTAGTAATCTGTTTTTCAGATAAGCCTTGGACTGAGTTAGACTCCGACTGTTAGGCGCGAGGCAGTTCGCAATATGGAAAATGCGGCTTCATATGAGGAACAGAGGTTTGATCAAACAAAGGGAAAGTTCAATAGCGTTTGTCTTGCTGATTTTATGTTGATACAAAATGAGGAGCGCAACCAGACAGTTAGTTCCTAAATATTGAGGTCTATTTTAAGTTGTAGAGGTTTTAGAGGGAGATTGTTATACCCTGAAAGCTTTGAACTCTAACCGTACTTACATGTGTGCTCATAATGGATTCTCATGATAGATAAAGAAAATGTCAGGTGATCAGAGCTCTACTGACGATCTAGAGGAAAGTAAAAGTGTAATGTCTGAGGAGACAATTAAAGATTTAATTAAAGTTTACATTGTGATGGGACAATACCAGGTGTTTATTTGTGGCCATACCTTAGTATAAATCTGTATCTGTTTACAGTAGTCCGTGAGTATGCGGTAGACATTCAGTTTGGTTGATGTCAGTTGTGAGAAACCATGAAGTCCGGGTGTGACTTTGTGATCCAGTGTGGACGCACAAATGAATTGGTTAAGTAACTGGAGGTTACTGGATATGTAGTCAACATGTAGAGCTTAATTTTATTTTAATTGTTTAGTTTTGTTTCTCTACTTTTGAGTCTAGTAGACAGTGTAACTCTGAAAACCAGGTATTATTTTGATTAAAAGAGTTATTATCCTTTGATCTGTGACTTGGTTCATAAAAATTTAAAGTTAAGTCAGGAGTGACCGAGCTATGCGATACTGTGCATTCTGTGAATTCTGTTTCAGATTAACACACAGAGCCGTGTGTACCGTATGATGGCTGTAGCGGGGGATAGTCACGGACTGTCTTGGGCATTAGCACGGGTCATGAGTTATGGGAGCAACCATGGAACGCAAGTGTGATGTTAGTGCTGCCGTAACTGGTGGGCGCCCATGCGGCTGCTCCGAGCATAGAGTCCCTGTTTAAGATGTGACGCTTAAGGACCCTCACAAGTTGGAAAGTTATGTTAAACGTTCTACCTATGACTTAGTGTGGAGGAGTTGACTGAGTTATGTTAAACGTTCTACCTATGACTCAGGAGTTGACTAAGTAGGAGTTGACTAAGTTATGTTAAACGTTCTACCTATGACTTAGTGGGGAGGGGTTGACTGAGTTATGTTAAACGTTCTACCTATGACTCAGGGGTTGACCAAGTTATGTTAAACGTTCTACCTATGACTTAGTGGGGAGGGGTTGACTGAGTTATGTTAAACGTTCTACCTATGACTCAGGGGTTGACCAAGTTATGTTAAACGTTCTACCTATGGCTTGGGGCCTAATTGAGCTATGACAACGTTTTTGTCTTTGGCTTAATTAGCAATTTTGCTGTTTTCCATCTTATCAATATGGCGGATGCGTCTATTGTGAGATGTAAAGCTTTAGTTTCCTTCCTTTTCTGTCACTTTACTTGTTTTATATTGCGTGCTTAGATGCAGACGCCGAAAACAAGGAGTCCGGTATGGTGACTGCATGTCTCCAAGATCAAGACGCGAGTCTACCTGCAGATGACTACATCCGAAATCGTCTTCTTCTGGAAACAGAGGTCCACGTACCCTCGTCTCGCCTGTCGCTGAGGACCAACGGGACCACGTCCAGCCTACACGCCACTGCTTGATTAGATGTAAAAGAGGAGTGAAGAGCCCGAGGACGGCCTCATGTCAGGAGAAGCCGTATAGAAGATTATTAGTATGGGAGTTTTAGGTTTAACAGTATATGAGTATAGACGATCAATAGTATGGTAGGAGTATAGACAATTAATAGTATGGGAGTTAAATTATTGAAGTTGCCTATAAAAACTCGTGCGGAGCTACGCTCTGGGGAACCGGTGATCGGTCGTCAAAGCGTAAACGTGATTTATTATTATTTTGTGCAGAGATTATGTTCCTTTTGTTTTATAAATGTTCTTTTTAAAAAAATAAAATCCTTACGAATATTCTAGATCAGAAGTGGGATTCGAAAACTCGTGTGTCTTAGTCCGTACATTCTGATTTGAAGCGTTTTTGAATACTCAGAGAATCGGCGACGTATTTTTACTTTGGGTGCCTACCCTCGTAAAAAAAATTATATTGGTTCGTAAGTTAATTGTGGTAAAATCTTTTGGTTAAGTGTAAACGACAGGTTTGGTGAGTACGTTCCAGTTTTTTTTTTTATTAAAAAGTGAATCGAAGCTTTATTTGCGAACACATTTTGTAACATCTTTATATCTAAAAGAGTTACGGTTCCATTTTGTTATTTTGTCGTGACTTCGCAATTATTTTGCGTAATTAATATTTTGATTCGAAATGTACCTAATTTGAGAATATCTGTTGAAAATATGCCTCGTAAAAAGCGAAAAAGTAAATTTTGCTCGAGAAATCGTAGTACAAACTCTAGACATCATAATTCGCGTCACACTCGACGCAGCCATACTAGCAATGTTTTAACCGAAACAATGCAACAAATTTACATCTCTGCAGGAACGACATTATCCGGCTTCTTCACAACGAAGGCAGCCGAGCATCTGTGCTGCCGCTGTTGCAGTCTGCGGTGCCTGTGGCAGCCGTCGTCGTTGCCAAGCTCGCGACAGTTGCCGAGTCGGCGGCTCCTCTCTGTGGCAGTCTGTGGTGCCTGTGGCGCATCGCTGTGGCAATCTGCGGAGCCCACGACGGTAGCAAAGTCGACGACGTCGACGCCGCCGCCATCAAGCGCGCTTCAAAGGCGAGCATGGCGGGCTGGCTTCAGTGGCCCCGTCTTCAACGGAGCGTTCCGTGAGTGCCGCGGTGGGCCACTTCAGTGCGGCCGATCGCATTATCGATGCAATAATATTTGCCGGTGAGGTCTAACCAAACTCATTACATTTCGAATTTAAACTAAATGCTAATGACATGTATGGTCTGTCTTGTATTGTTAATTGTTTACAAGTAGATCCAAAAACGTAAGTTAATGAATGGTTAACGAACGACTGCAGTTAGAATTACTTTAAAAAGTAGCTCGTGTCCCAGAAAACCAGACATAGCGAATATTTTATACGCAGTTATGTGTTCCAATCTAGATAAGTTCCTTACATACCCAGACTATACCCGTCGGTTTTTAAGGTTATGAAACGTTAGAGAGTTAAGTGATGGGCTGATATCGGAATAGTAAAACTGGGCATTACTGACCCACAGATTCACGCGTCGCGGTATTTTTTGACGTTCAATAAGAGCTTAAAATAAGCTTTTTTGAATGAAGAAATTTTGACTTTGAAAATGCAAAATGAGTTCGTAGTTTCCTTTCTGTTTATGTTAAATGTCATGGTCGTATTAGGAAGATTCCTGAGCGCCAGGTAGTTAATACGTTCTCTATTCGTTTGGTCAGTGACTGTATCAGAATACCGTAACCGTAGCTTAGTACAGATCAACGTCTGCTCTTTGAGTAATCTGTACGTAGCGTAGTATGAGGCGGTACAATTTGATAGTACATTCGGATCTTGCCTTGTAGTAAGATCATAGGAGTTGAGGGTGAACTTTGGCTTCCCATGGGCTAGAGCTTAGAAAATTTGTGTGCTGGAGCTACGCGAATGTGTAACTTGGAGCTTGCTAAAGTTATAATTTTTATTGGTTTCGGAATGATGTTTGTTCTTTTTAAACGACTATACTCAGTGGTACATGGACTCTAGTAATCTGTTTTTCAGATAAGCCTTGGACTGAGTTAGACTCCGACTGTTAGGCGCGAGGCAGTTCGCAATATGGAAAATGCGGCTTCATATGAGGAACAGAGGTTTGATCAAACAAAGGGAAAGTTCAATAGCGTTTTGTCTTGCTGATTTTATGTTGATACAAAATGAGGAGCGCAACCAGACAGTTAGTTCCTAAATATTGAGGTCTATTTTAAGTTGTAGAGGTTTTAGAGGGAGATTGTTATACCCTGAAAGCTTTGAACTCTAACCGTACTTACATGTGTGCTCATAATGGATTCTCATGATAGATAAAGAAAATGTCAGGTGATCAGAGCTCTACTGACGATCTAGAGGAAAGTAAAAGTGTAATGTCTGAGGAGACAATTAAAGATTTAATTAAAGTTTACATTGTGATGGGACAATACCGGGTGTTTATTTTTGTGGCCATACCTTAGTATAAATCTGTATCTGTTTACAGTAGTCCGTGAGTATGCGGTAGACATTCAGTTTGGTTGATGTCAGTTGTGAGAAACCATGAAGTCCGGGTGTGACTTTGTGATCCAGTGTGGACGCACAAATGAATTGGTTAAGTAACTGGAGGTTACTGGATATGTAGTCAACATGTAGAGCTTAATTTTATTTTAATTGTTTAGTTTTGTTTCTCTACTTTTGAGTCTAGTAGACAGTGTAACTCTGAAAACCAGGTATTATTTTGATTAAAAGAGTTATTATCCTTTGATCTGTGACTTGGTTCATAAAAATTTAAAGTTAAGTCAGGAGTGACCGAGCTATGCGATACTGTGCATTCTGTGAATTCTGTTTCAGATTAACACACAGAGCCGTGTGTACCGTATGATGGCTGTAGCGGGATAGTCACGGACTGTCTTGGGCATTAGCACGGGTCATGAGTTATGGGAGCAACCATGGAACGCAAGTGTGATGTTAGTGCTGCCGTAACTGGTGGGCGCCCATGCGGCTGCTCCGAGCATAGAGTCCCTGTTTAAGATGTGACGCTTAAGGACCCTCACAAGTTGGAAAGTTATGTTAAACGTTCTACCTATGACTTAGTGTGGAGGAGTTGACTGAGTTATGTTAAACGTTCTACCTATGACTCAGGAGTTGACTAAGTAGGAGTTGACTAAGTTATGTTAAACGTTCTACCTATGACTTAGTGGGGAGGGGTTGACTGAGTTATGTTAAACGTTCTACCTATGACTCAGGGGTTGACCAAGTTATGTTAAACGTTCTACCTATGACTTAGTGGGGAGGGGTTGACTGAGTTATGTTAAACGTTCTACCTATGACTCAGGGGTTGACCAAGTTATGTTAAACGTTCTACCTATGGCTTGGGGCCTAATTGAGCTATGACAACGTTTTTGTCTTTGGCTTAATTAGCAATTTTGCTGTTTTCCATCTTATCAATATGGCGGATGCGTCTATTGTGAGATGTAAAGCTTTAGTTTCCTTCCTTTTCTGTCACTTTACTTGTTTTATATTGCGTGCTTAGATGCAGACGCCGAAAAAACAAGGAGTCCGGTATGGTGACTGCATGTCTCCAAGATCAAGACGCGAGTCTACCTGCAGATGACTACATGCCGAAATC